TTATGGCGCTATATCAAAGAGAGGGCAAAAAAAAGAGCGCGTCTTTATTCTAATTTCAAGTCATAAACAATGAAAACACGGAGAGGAAGGTTTAGTTTTGCTAGGGGACGAAGCTCTGCGCTGTTTCAGAACAGGTAAAATCAAGGGTAGGCAAGAAAGATCGCAGGCGAGCTCTCAATGGTAGCGCAACGCAGGAGGAGGGCGCAATGTATTCAGGGCGAACACGCCCGCGAGGGGGAGCCGAACTGGTTTGTGCGCAGCTCTATGGGCATCTTGCCTCTTCGAGTTGCGCATGCGCGGCCTCCACAAGGAAAGATTCTATCCTTTCCTTGCGCCTTCAGGATGGATAGGCTAGAGTTCAACAGAGCCGTACCATCACTTCCGGTTCCAGTGGAAATCCTAGATAGATATAGTCGGATTACTGTGCGTTGTCTGAAGCATTCTCTCCTGACGTTTCGTCCACATCTATGGCAGGCACCCTCGGAGGTTGTGAGGTCTGTTGGAAACTAGTAAAATAAGATTTATATATCTGTGGAATGTCCAGGGTGGGAGAAAGAATCATAGAATCAAAGAGTTGGAAGAGACCTCATGGGCCATCCAGTCCAACCCCCTGCCAAGAAGCAGGAATATTGCATTCAAATCACCCCTGACAGATGGCCATCCAGCCTCTGTTTAAAAGCTGGTCAAGAAAGAACTCTTGTTCTGCTCCAGCCAAGTGTGAATGCTGCAGTTGGTCACCTTGACTGGTATTTAATGGCCTTGCAGCTTCAAAGCCTGGTTGATTCCTGCCTGGAGGAATCCTTTGTTGGGAGGTTTTCCTGCTACTTGGCAGGGGGTTGGACTGGATGTCCCACAAGGTCTCTTCCAACTCAGTGATTCTGATTTTAGCAGGCCCTGATTGTTTCACGTTTTCATTATTTTTTTAGTATTGCTCATTATTTACTGTCCTGATTATAGAGGTTTTTTTAAATACTGGTAGCCGGTTTTTTCCATTTTCATGGTTTTCATGGCCAACCCCGACTGATACCGCCTTCCACCTGGAAACCAATGCCCTCACTGTGGGAGAAGATGCAGGTCAAGAATAGGGCTCCACAGCCACCTACGGATCCACAAGAATACTGATCATGGAAGACTATCCTACTCGTCAAATGAGGGATTGCCTAAGTATTTGCATGGTTTCCTCCTGTCTTTATGAAAATGAACAAAATCTCTCTACTAGTATTTAAATAAACTCTAAAATCAGGACAGTAAATAAAGAGCAGATGTTTAAAAACAATGCTTTTGGTTTTGGAAAGATTAGCCATTTACAAGAAACATTGCCCAGGGGACGCCCAACTGTATTGACTCAGTCTTTGAGGAAGCTCTTTCCATGTCCCCCGGTTTTATTTATCAAGTTTATACTAATTTATGCAATGCTTTTGATATGAAATAAAAAATAAAGAGCAACACAAAAAATAGGAGAATTCCAGGCAAGAATCATTCAGGGCCAGCTAACATCTCCCAACAAAGGATTCCTCCAGGCAGCAACCAGCCAGGGTTTGAAGCTACACAGCCATTAAATGCTAGTCAAGATGGCCAATTGCAACATTCACACTTGTTTGCAACAGACAAGACTCTTTTTTCCCACCCTGGGCATTCCACAGATATATAAACCCCACTTGCCTCACAACAGACCTCACAACCTCTGAGGTTCCCAACAGACCTCACAACCTCTGAGGATGCCTGTCATAGATGTAGTTGAATGTCAGGAGAGAATGCTTCTGGAACATGGCCATACAGCCTGGAAAACTCATAACAACCCAGTGGTTTCAGTGCTGGCCTAAAGGTGTACCTAACAGTGTAGAATTAATGCAGCTTGACACCACTTTAACTGCCATGGCTCAATGCTATGGATTTGCGGGAATTGTAGCTTTATCAGCTCATTTTGGCTGAGAGACCTGAACACCTTGCAAACTACAACTCCCAGGATAACAGCACAGAGCCATGGCAATTAAAGTGGTGTCAAACTGCATTAATTCTACAGTGCAGAGATGCACTCTTAGCCTTAAAAGTGTTATATCTCTCTCTCTATATATATATATACTAGCTGTCCCCTGCCACGCCTTGCTGTGGCCCACTGTGGTGGTCATGGGGATTCTGTGTGGGAGGTTTGGCCCAATTCTATCGGTGATGGGGTTCAGAATGCTCTTTGATTGTAGGTGAACTATAAATCCCAGCAACTACAACTCCCAAATGTCAAGATTCTATTTCCCCCAAACTCCACCAGTGTTCACATTTGGGCATATTGAGTATTCGTGTAGAGTTTGGTCAAAATCCATCATTGTTTGAGTCCACAGTGCTCTCTGGATGTAGGTGAACTACAACTCCAAAACCAAAGGACACTGCCCACCAAACCCTTCCAGTATTTTCTGTTGGTCATGGGAGAACTGCGTGCCAACTTTGGTTCAATTCCATTGTTGGTGGGGTTCAGAATGCTCTGTGATTGTAGGTGAACTATAAATCCCAGCAACTACAACTCCCAAATGACAAAATCAATTTTTTGAGTGAAGGACATACATTGGGTTCTTAGGTGTCTTGTGTCCAAATTTGGTGTCAATTCGTCCAGTGGTTTTTGAGCTCTGTTAAACCCACATACGAACATTACATTTTTATTTATATAGAAATAATATGTGTATCTCAAAATTATGGTTGCTGGCCTGTCCCTCCCTGCTCTTGTATCGCTGTTTGTCTCTCCTTTGAGATCCCTAGAGCGGATATACTGCCCGCTGCTTTTTAAAAATAGCCCGTCCGGCTGGAGACCGGAAGTCTGCAGAAAGGCCTCCGGGATCTCTATGGCGCGGCCGGAAGTGCGTGGCATCCATGTTGACTGGCGGGCGAGGGGGAAGTCCCGAGGCCCTTCCTTCCGCCATGACTAAAATGGCGGTGGCCTGTCGTGGGAGGAGGCAGTAGGGACGGCCCAGTCTCGGCCACTTTCCGCGGGAGTCGCAGGTCACCTGAGGGTGAGTCTTTGCGGCCTTTGGAAGGCTCTCGGCGGGGGAAATGCGAAGCCGTTTTCACGCGATTACATAAGCAATCATTTAAAATTATATGAAGGATTGATACCTTAGGAGGCCTTTTTAGTGAAGGAGAGGAAGAACAGAAGGAGAAACCGTTGAGGGTTTGGCCGCCTCCCAGAGGTTTGAATTGGCCGCTTTACAAGCTTCATGGCTGTTCCTGTGCTCCAAAAGCCTGATAGAGATAACTTATTTTTTGTTGTCTTACTATAAATCAATATAAATACTTTTTATTATCATCACCATTATCCTTATATATTGTCGAAGGCTTTCATGGCCGGAATCACTGGGTGGTTGTAGGTTTTTTCGGGCTATATGGCCATGTTCTAGAGGCATTCTCTCCTGACGTTTCGCCTGCATCCATGGATGCAGGCGAAACGTCAGGAGAGAATGCCTCTAGAACATGGCCATATAGCCCGAAAAAACCTACAACAACCCACCATTATCCTTTTTTGTATGCCTCTTCTCTCCCCATAAGGAGACTCAAAGCAAGACGATTTTCCATTTGAAACCGGCGAGATATAAACACTAAAATCTGACTACTAGTATTTAAAGAAAAAAATATATAAAATCAGGACAGTAAATAAAGAGCAGATGTTTAAAAACAATGCTTCTGGGTTTGGAAAGATTAGCCATTTACAAGAAACCTTGCCCGGGGATGCCCAACTGTATTGACTCAGTCTTTGAGGAGGCTCTTTCCGTGTCCCCCGGTTTTATTTATCGGTTTTATACTAATTTATGCAATGCTTTACATACGAAATAAAAAATAAAGAATTGGACATGCAACTATTTAAAATAAATAGTTAAAACCATTATAATTGAGTTATATCAGACATCTACACAATGTTGTTGTGAAGTGCAATCGTGGTTTCTCTCTCTTTGCCGTTACTTATTGGATTTAACACTGATAACTTAATTCGATATAGTGCACATTGATAAAATAGAGAAACCGAAACGAGGAAAAAATAACCAGTCCTAACTTCATTGAAATAAAAACACTATTCTTCCCTTACAAGCTAAATAATCCTGCTAATTGCTAATAATCATAGCAACAAGTTATTGCATACTCAGTTCTTTTTGCCCTCAAAGTCCCCATACAGTTTCTTTTCTGTTCAAAAGCTCTCATGTGGCTCATCCACGTGGATCCCAATGCAAGCATGTGGTGGGGAAGCCCAGTGGCCAAATACATATTGCACATGCCTATTTTGGAGATTGGGGTATGTTGCTGCCTGCCTTTTTTTCTATTTGAATGGAGTAAAAGCCCCTCAGTAAATAATTGCATCTTCTTGTATCCTTACAACGAGTTCATTCGCTCAAAAGATACATTTAAATGAAGGGGACAAGGGACACCTGATTTAAGCTGATTAAGAATAGTTTGATGAAATAAATAGCATTGGCCTTGGAAATCAATTGAAGATGGTCTCCTTGGTGTTAGAAGGAATCAATTGAGGAACTCTGCTATGAGGAAACACAGAGCCCAACAATGAAACTCATTTCCTCAAACAAAGATGGTATTTCAATTTTGACCAAATGGGTGCTTTAAAGGAAGAGAGAAGGATCAAGTGGTGGAAATTGTGGGGAAATTGCTGTTTTGATAAACAACTATGTGCAGGATGAAACAAAATGAAAGGGAGAGGGGGCCATGAGAGCCAGGATGAAAGAATTAAAGGTGTGAATTATAGAAGGGGGGGGGGGGAGAAACCCTGTAAGAACCTTGTAAGAAAATTCATTAGTGTGGCACTTCCTTTCAGAGTGATCACCTGCAGTTCTACAGTAGTCTTGCTTATCCAACCTTTTTTTTGAATAACTCTCACTGCTTTTTAAAAAAAACTCAGTGCCAGTCCTCAAAAGAGTTCAAATGTGAACAGAATTTTTCAAGTTTTCTCCTCCTCAGTTGTGGGAGACCCAAGTTTGCCATCATTGCAGACTGTTTTTTCTGCCTTTACTAGATTAAACTTTTAACATTATTCTTTTGAACGCTAGAAACAGATATGCCATTGACAGTGTGGAAAAATAGTTGGAGACTGTGTTAAATAGTTTTTGAGGGGAACTTAAGAGCCTGGAGCATGTATTCACTAAGCAGTCATTTTACTTATGATGCAAGGAATTTTTTTCTTAGACGTATGTGTTGCATTCAAAATAAAAACTCTTAAATGTATGGCATTGTACGTATGCAACCACTATATTTCTTATTTGAGTGTGGAGCCTTATAAAGCCTCTACTGTGTTCATGCATAAATACAAGGTGTTGGCAGATTTAGGGGAATCCCAATGTTTCCGAAGTCAAAGAAGGACCTAAAGGTCTTTTGAATTCAAAAAGATTCGCATGAGAACTGTGTGTTCAGTGATGAAGTAATGTGGAGAGATTTTTGGGAGGGAAGAACATGTAGTTTCGGTAGTTCAGATGGCGTTACCTGGAAAAATACGTGATAGGGGAACACAAAGTTTGAAGAGGAGCACTCTACACTTATATTATCTTTTTGTTGCTGTTTTGTATATATATCTCTGGGTAGATCTATACTGACCCACAATGGAACAGACAGGCACTCCTCCTGGCCACTGCAGAGGTGGGAGGGAGCCATGACCACCCAGTGACACCGAATAGAGTTTAGCAGCGATGGACAGCCACTCTGATCCCCCCAATCTTATTCTCCATGTCAGTGTTTCTCAAACTATGCTCCTCCACGTATTTTGGACTTCAGCTCCCGGAAATCCCAGCCAGCTTACCCAGCTGTTAAGAATTGTGGGAGCTGAAGCCCAAAACATCTGGAGGAGCAGAGTTTGAGGGAAACTTCTTCATCTTACTGCAGTCTCCAACCATGTCAAGGGTCCTACTGGTCAGCTGTTGCCTGCAGTACTTCAGACTGGTTTAGCAGGGAAAGGAGGAATTGCTCTCTCCTCGCTCCACTTCCTTCCCTAATTACACTGCTGACTGTGCCAGTGCCGAAGCTGGCTGATCTGGTAGAACTCATCCTGCAGCCAGAGACCTCCGCAACATGGAACAACAGTAAGTGCCATCCTGTGTCTCTGGGCTGCCTGTGTTTAGGGGACACAGGATGACTTTGGTTGACGTGGGGCAAAGCCACATTAAGGGGGCCCTGCCTTGCTTTACCCTGGACTAGCTCTGTGTGGCATTTGCCCTCCATGGAGCTATCTAGGGCCTTTCCACATTAAATGGTCTGTGTAGATGTGTTCTCCCTTTTCAAATGCATCATTTTAGATTGTACTTGTTATATTTGGATACAATGTATTATGCATTGTCTAAAATGGCCCAAATTGCTTATTGATGTTGCAGTATGTTACCTGTTGCTTGGCTTAAAAATGATTGGCAATATACAGAGATCTTTTGACAAATGTTTGCAAAATTTAAGTGTTTATTTCAGAACTAAGCCATACTGAAAGTCATATTGCCATAAACTTTATTGTGGAATTCTCACAGATCATTTTGATTTGCTTATAGAATATGAAATCAAGATATAGTTATGTCAAGCATGTTGTTGTTGTTCATTCGTTCAGTCGTCTCCGACTCTTCGTGACCTCATGGACCAGCCCACGCCAGAGCTCCCTGTCGGCCGTTACCACCCCCAGCTCCCTCAAGGTCAGTCCAGTCACTTCAAGGATGCCATCCATCCATCTTGCCCTTGGTCGGCCTCTTCCTTTTGCCTTCCACTTTCCCCAGCATAATTGTCTTCTCTAGGCTTTGCTGTCTCCTCATGATGTGGCCAAAGTACTTCAACTTTGTCTCTAGTATCTTTCCCTCCAGTGAGCAGTCGGGCTTTATTTCCTGGAGGATGGACTGGTTGGCTCTTCTCGCAGTCCAAGGCACTCTCAGCACTTTCCTCCAACACCACAGCTCAAAAGCATCGATCTTCCTTCGCTCAGCCTTCCCTAAGGTCCAGCTCTCACATCCGTAGGTTACTACAGGGAATACCATGGCTTTGACTAGGCGGATCTTTGTTGCCAGTCTGATGTCTCTACTCTTTACTATTTTATCGAGACTGGACATTGCTCTCCTCCCAAGAAGTAAGCGTCTTCTGATTTCCTGGGCACAGTCTGCATCTGCAGTAATCTTTACACCTAGAAATACAAAGTCTGTCACGGCCTCCACGGTTTCTCCCTCTATTTTACAGTTGTCAATCATTCTTGTTGCCATAATCTTGGTTTTTTTGACGTTTAGCTGCAACCCGGCTTTTGCGCTTTCTTCTTTCACCTTGATTAGAAGGCTCCTCAGCTCCTCCTCGCTTTCGGCCATCAGAGTGGTGTCATCTGCATATCTGAGGTTGTTAATGTTTCTTCCAGCAATTTTCACCCCCCCTTTGCATTCATCAAGCCCCGCACATCGCATGATGTGTTCTGCATACAAGTTAAAAAGGTTGGGTGAGAGGATGCAGCCTTGCCGTACGCCTTTCCCAATCTTGAACCAGTCTGTTGTTCCATGGTCAGTTCTGACTGTTGCTACTTGGTCCTTGTACAGATTCCTCAGGAGAGAGACAAGCTGGCTTGGGATGCCCATCCCACCAAGAACTTGCCACAATTTATTATGATCCACACAGTCAAAGGCTTTAGAATAGTCAATGAAGCAGAAGTAGATGTTTTTCTGAAACTCCCTGCCTTTCTCCATTATCCAGCCGATATTGGCAATTTGGTCTCTCGTTCCTCTGCCTTTTCTAAACCCAGCTTGAACATCTGGCAACTCTCGCTCCATGTATTGCTGGAGTCTTCCTTGCAGGATCTTGAGCATTACCTTACTGGCATGAGAAATAAGGGCCACTGTACGGAAGTTGGAGCAGTCTTTCGCATTTCCCTTTTTTGGTATGGGGATATAAGTTGATTTTTTCCAGTCTGATGGCCATTCTTGTGTTTTCCATATTTGCTGGCAAATGGCATGCATCACCTTGACAGCATCATCTTTTAAGATTTTAAACAGTTCAGCTGGGATCCCGTCGTCTCCTGCTGCCTTGTTGTTAGCAATGCTTCTTAAGGCCCATTCAACCTCACTCCTCAGGATGTCTGGTTCTAATTCATTCACCACACCGTCAAAACTATCCTCAATATTATTATCCTTCCTATACAGATCTTCTGTATAGTCTCGCCACCTTCTCTTGATCTCTTCAGCTTCTGTTAGGTCCCTGCCATCTTTGTTTCTTATCATACCAATTTTTGCCTGAAATTTACCTCCAATGTTTCTAATTTTCTGGAAGAGATCTCTTGTCCTTCCTATTCTGTTGTCTTCTTCCACTTCCATGCATTGCTTATTTAAAAATAGTTCCTTATCTCTTCTGGCTAACCTCTGGAATTGCGCATTTAACTGGGCATATCTCCCCTTATCCCTGTTTCCTTTTGCTTTGCTCCTTTCTTGGGCTACTTCCAGTGTCTCAGCAGACAACCATTTTGCCTTCTTGGTTTTCTTTTTCTTTGGGACGTACTTTGTTGCCGCCTCCTGAACAATGTCTCGGACTTCTGTCCATAGTTCTTCTGGGACTCTGTTTACTAAATCTAGTCCTTCAAATCTGTTCTTCACTTCCACTGTATATTCGCTAGGAATGTTAGTGAGATCATATCTAACTGGTCTGTGTATTTTCCCTGATCTCTTTAGTCAAGCATGATGGATAGTAAATAGTAAAAAGGAACAGGAGACTTCAGTGGATCTTTTAATCACCTTTGTTGTGAGATTTACAGTATGGGGTGCCATGTAAAAGTCTTAAAGAGCATTTCAAACATAATTATTTTGTTGCATAAATATAGTTTTCTGGAAACTATCTTAATGGAAGCATTAACTTGTATTAATTTGGGGAGTTACATGTTATAAGTATCAGCTCAGGACATGTTTGAATTAAGTCATATTCACTAGAAAAACCCAAAGTTATAATGTTGATTAGTATTTCATTCATTCCTATTTATTTTTTTGAAAACAATACATCTGTAAATAAATCAATGTATGGGTGCTGTGTTGTGCATATCTCCAGTCTTTATACCAGTGGTTCCCAACTTGTGAATCCCCAGATGTTTTGGCCTTCAACTCCCAGAAATCCTAACAGCTGGTAAACTGGCTGGGATTTCTGGGAGTTGTAGGCCAAAAGACCACTTCTTTAGACATTATAAGCAAAAATGCTATGTTCAAAAGTAGAACAATCAACATTTTCCCATTCTGCATAGCTAGTAATTGTGGTTCAAATAGACTCAAAACCACAAATCCTGTGTAAAATTATACTCTGAAAAAAGGCAACATTTACTAAGCAGATATTCAGAACCACATGCTAACCATAGCTCACACAATATGCTGTAGCTGAGGTGGAGTATACTCCCCTTAAAATACGATTTTTTGTTTTTGTTTGCTTTTAATAATGTAGCTGTAAAACAGAACAAATCTGTGAAATTGGAATAAAAGACTGGCCTACATTTATGAACCTACCTCAGTACATTATTTGCACAGAACTAATTATTTTAAAGGTGTGTGGAAAAATGATACAGGTACACAAATTCCTAATGATTTTTGGGCTACCTTCTGATCCAATACATCCTTCAAGTTTCAGCCTTGATGATAGAATGAGCATGTAAAATAATATATATGTACAGCCTCCAAATTAGTTCTCTTCTACAAAAATATAAGCCCATTGTGTTGGTGAGGAGGTGGAGAGTGGGAAATCTTTGTACATATGCATATATATTCTAGGCTCGTGATACTGTAATGAAATTATTTGGCTGATTGGAAAAAGGAGAAAAAAATTGTGAACAGACATGAGTTACTTATGTTATCTTTATTTTGGGTATTACAAAATAATAAATATTTAATACTGAAATTTCTTGCCCTTGCAAAGATGCACATTGCTCAAAATTTGGTCATAATTTCAGTATTGCCCTGGTTTGATAAATTTGGCTCTGTACAAAAACTTAACTTTTAATGTCAGATTTCTTCACATAGAGATAAAGAAATCTTATTTTCTGGAGAAATGATGTCTTGTGTTGATTTTTTAAAATTACAGTAGCAAGTAATATGCTATCCATCTTTCTCATCAGAAATTCTGGAATTAACTTCTTTCCAATTGATTGCGATGTTTGATTTGCAGCAAAGATACATTATTTGGACATCCACTCCATCTGGTGTCTTTTATGTTTTACATATTTTTATTTTATTTTTGTTGTGCCAGGAGCTACTTGAGAAACTGCAAGTCGCATCTGGTGTGAGAGAATTGGCCATCTGCAAGGATGTTGCCCAGGGGACGCCTGGATGATTTGATGTTTTTATCATCCTTGTGGGAGGCTTCTCTCATGAGGAGCTGGAGTTGATAGAGGAAGCTCATCCGCCTCTCCCCGGATTCGAACCTGCGACCTGTCGGTCTTCAATCCTGCCGGCACAGGGGTTTAACCCACTGCGCCACCGGGGGCTCCTATTTTTATTCTTTCTGTGGTTATAATATGCATTATAACTATGCTACTCTTGGCATATTATATATGAAGACTTTTTTTCATTTAAAATTGAAGTAATTCATTTGCAGCTGTACTTCGACCAGATCCTTACAGATTGCTTTGACAGTAAAATTTGGTTACATTTACAGATACTTTATTGATGGTCTCTGGTCCTGATGGTTTGGACTATTCATGCTAAGGTTTATAGTTCCCTCCTTTGTGTTCATCAGTATTTTTCAGTGGAATAGTGTATATTGGCAAAAAGTGGACAACAAAAAAGGTGCTGAACTCAGAAAAAATATTTGGAAAGCTCTATGGTTCATGAAAGAACTAACAGGTTCTGATAATGCCCATTGCAAATGTCTTGTAAGACATTTTTCTCTGTCTTTCAAATTATTGGTATGAAGTACACCTTAATTTAAGAGCCTTCGAGCTCTCAATTGAAGGCCACTATTAGTTCAGTATTGTGGTGAGCCCTGTCATAGAAACAACTGTGAAGGATACTGGATGTATCTAAATCAGGAGTTCTCAGGCTTTGATCCTGGAGCATTTTTGCACTTCAGTCCCCAGAAGCCTCTACTTGCATGGTTAGCAATTTTAGATTGTGGAAATTGAAGACCTAAACATATGAAAGATCAAAAGTTAGGAACTGCTCTTCTAAATAACCGCTTCTTAAAATGTGTGTCCTGGCCCCAGATAGGGCCCCCTTACCTCAATGTTGATGTCACCAACCTTTTTGCAATGTTGCCAACTAGACACATATGACTGTTAGCAACAACATGCAGGGTTTACAATGGACCCTGCAAAAATGGTTCAGCTATACTCCTCAAAAAGGAAAATCAGCCTGGCAGGCAAGCCTTGCAGATGCTGATTTATTTTCATAAATGTTTGATTTGTCTACCTATTTTATATACCTGTATATCTGGAGTCTGTATGTATGCCCTGATGGCACAGTGGGTTAAGTTGCTGAACTTGCTGACCAAAAGGTCAGCTGTTCGAATCTGCGGAGCAGGGTGAGCTCCCGCTTTTAGGCCCAGCTTCTACCAACCTAGCAGTTTGGAAACATGCAAATGTGCTGGAAGGTAACAGCGCTCAATGCAGTCATGCTGGCCACATGATCTTGGAGGTGTCTATGGACAATGCTGGCTCTTCGGCTTAGAAATGGAGATAAGCACCACCTCCCAGGATCGGAAACAACTAGACTTAATGTCAGGGGAAACCTTTACCTTTATTATACCTGGAGTCATGTAAAAATTTCTCAGGTGGAAAGGGGTAATGAGTGGGGAAAAAAAAGAAGTCCAGTTCTAGATGATAGAGTTTACATCAGTTCTCAGATCTGGAATCAACAGGTTGTGCCAGAGCTTGGTATCTAGTAATTGTCTAATTCCAGTATATTTCTACTGTAATACTGAACTAATTGTAGAGAAATTAGACCTTATTCACACAGCTCTGTAGCTAACTTATTGTCTTCAAGATCAGGGGGATACCACAGTTGCACATGGACACCATGGTTTTTGTGACCTTTTGGGGTCAATTATTACTATTACTGCAAAAATAATTTTTACTTTGTTTTTGCATTAAAATGCCCCAAGTGCATAAAATTGGATACCAGTGCTTTTATGTCAAGCCTTTTTGAGTCCCCCTTGGAGGGAAAAAAACAGGGTATAAATTATTATTATTATTATTATTAATAGTGGGTGTGGTGGGCATTTCCATCATGTTCTCCAGTGGTTAAAACATTTTCCTCCATTAGTGTGCTAAGATGTCCACTGAACATATAGGATGCAACATAGGCCCAGGACAGGACTTTCTTGAAATCGTGAAAATGTCTGTGGCCCCTATGCTTATAATTCCAAAAAAGCAAACCCTGATTTTGGCATTTTATATAAAGGACAACATTTTACTGTGCCATTGTACAGTATCAGCAGGAGATAGTTCCAGGACCTCTGAGTGAATAATACCAAATACTATACTTGGACTATTCTTGAGCTGGAAGCATGCCATATAACTACACTGCCTGCCTCTGTTTGCTGACTCACTATTATCAGCAAATTCCTGTGTGGAATGTGACTCAGCTATGAATACTCCAATGGTTACTCAGCAAGTGATTTTGAGTTCTTGTCTGAACAAGTCCCAAAAGTTGTGAATCTCTTTGAGGTAGGATAGATTTACTGTAGAATACTTTAAAAGCAGTATCTTGATACTGCTCTTTAAAAAATAAGGAAACTTGCTTAGGCAAATTGTAGTATTTTTCTTAGGTAGTGCCCAGAAAATTTATAATCCATTTGATTAGTAGATTTAATATTGTAGCAACTTGTTTGTTAGCAACCAGGAAAGTGATGGAGGGCTTAGTGTAATGTGTTAAACACATACGATATATATAATTTAATTTTGAACCAATGTTTTAAAGCCTCTGAAAAATTGACAGTTAATTTTTATGTGGTGTTTTTTTTTTCCTTCCTGGCTAATTCCTGAACTTTTTTTCCATTTTAGCTTTGCACTGATAGCTATTCTACTGCCAAAATGACATCTTCCACCTCTGCACAATTTCCATCAAATGAGAAAGCTTGCAGAACATCATCTGAAAGAATCACACAGGTAATTTATAGCCTTATTTATTTTCCATTTGTAATTAATATAGCCTTGTTGTTGTGCTAATTATGTGTCATAATTTAGGGAGAAAGAAAATGGGGGAAAACATTCTAAGTGCATGCTGATGCTTTGGATTTCATCAGGTGCATTTTCCCCACCTTCCCTTACACAAAGTAAGAGTTTACTTTTAGGGACACAACATGTGATTTGCACTAGGGTCATCATTATTTTTTAATAGCCTGAACTATTGGAAATTATTTTTTCATTGTAGTTGAGAAAAGGCAGTGTTATTTTCATGTGAAAAGCTTAATTGTGACTCTGTAATGGGATACTAAAAATATCCCATTAAAATTATGGGTTGCTTACTTATGGATCAGAGGTCGTCAGACTTTTTAAGCAAACTGTTGTGGTGCCAGACTATAGTTTGGGGAAAAAAACATGGACAAATTCCTATGCACACCTCACCTATCATTTTTCTAGTGCAAAAAAATGAAAGAACACTACAGTATTTAAAATGAAGGACAAATGTAACTAACATAAACTTATCAGTATTTCAATGGGAAATGTGGACTTGCTTTTGGCTGATGAGATAGTCAGGTTAATTAGGATGATCGTTGTTATGGGCCTTCAAATCGCTTCAGACTTAGGGGAATCCTAAGTCTCAAGTTTAGGTGACGCCTAAATGACCTTGGACAACTACATCCAGCCCATGGGCCTCAGTTTGGGGACCCTTGTTATAGATCTACCCATGTGGTGGCTTTTATATATGCTACTCAAAATGTATTGTGACTTGGCTAAATAAGTCTGTATCTTATATCTTAGGTAAGACCCAAGCTGCCGCTCTTGAGAATATTGCAAACGGCAGGGGCTCATGGTGAAACTTTTACATTAAAGGAGGTGAGTTAGTAAGTGTGCTCTTTTGCATTGTAGAATATTGTTTTGATGATTCATTTCATATTTTATTCTTCAAGCTTAAAAAGGATTCCCAAAATAGTTCAAAAGTGAAGGGAAAAAAAGCCTGACCGATACCAACTACATTCTGTCAGGAAGCATCCTGGCTGTGGCGGCTTCTGTTTTACTTGCCATTAAGAATGGCAAAAAACTATGTTGCTCAAACTACATTTGTTTCTCTCCCTTTCCAAGCCAAAATGGGTTTCTGCTTCACAGCAACATCATGTGAAAGACAAATTGAAGTACAGCATATGCTTCTAGAGTGAGAGCAGATGTGCTTTGAGTGCTGTACTTTAAAAAGAGCAATTGAGGGATAATTTGAAAAAAAAATGTTTCCGAGGCACTCCTGTCTGATTTCCAAAAATTTCTAGGTGACTCCTTTCAGATGCTCTCTTCAGTGCATCATTTATTTTTAACTAGGGGGTTCATGATCCCCAAGCAGTCAGTGGATGTGCTTCGGCATAGTTTTCAAGAGTATACTCTCCTATAATAATAGTCCTAGAATATATTTTTTTTTAAATTACCTTTCTAAATAATATATCACATTCAGCTTGTCAGCACCATAAAATGCATATTTTTTCTTGATTGTTCTTGCCCTCCTTCCCTCTTTCTGTTGTAATCCCATCCTTCTCCAGGGGCAGCTGCCATCTTTCAGCCTTCTCCATTACCAATCTCACAGAATTTGAGCCATGAATCCTCTTGCTATGCATCTCATTCCTCTTTACTGTGCTCTCCTTAATCTCTCACTACCTTCTTTTCTTGGAAGAGGAGGGGAGAGGGGGCGAGGGGGTTCTCATGCCAGAGATAGTTCTTTATAGAAACAGCCTCCTCCTGCCTGTAGGTCTTAAAGTGAGCCTGAGAAGGAATGACTTGAGAAGTTACCTGTGCTGCTAAGTCCAGAGATGTATTTTGGCATGGGCCCAAAAACTAAATGAGCTGTTAAATGAAGGTACACTGCTTGAATCTGATCACCCCAAAATTAGTCATTATTTTGAGGAGCTAGTTTCCATTTATTAAACCAGAATAACAAGATGTTGTGAGTAGTTCCAAAAGGGGAAAGAGATGGCTCATTTGTATTTTAACATTTTGAAAATTTCATCTCTGCTTATGCTACATTGAAGAAGCACTGTAATAAATAGTAAAATAATGTAAAATATTTAGCATGTATCAGTGTGAACAGTCTCACGTTTTTGAGAGAATAATTTATTTTTGATCATTTTACACTATTAATTTAGGTGGCCTGTGAGCTGTGTGCATTTATTTCCTGTTACTTTGAAAATTACATTTAGATGTATTTTTCTAGGGAGGAGTCCATAACTCAGTCCTCAAATGGATGTCAGACCCCCAAACAGGTTTAGAAACCACTTCTGCATATTGATGTCTGTAGTTCTTCAAATTTGTAAAGTGTTTAGGAACTTGAATGAGATGCAGTTGCTTGAACTAGCACCCTAGTTCTCTAAGTGCTAGGGATAATGTAGTGGGTTTTGCAAGTACTCTTCATAACTATCCTTATAAATGGCCATCTCACGGAATTTGAGCCATGAATCCTCCCTGTTGCATCTTCCCCGCTGACAGGAAATCTTCTTTTTTCTACGTATATGTTCTATTCATCAAAAGATTTTAAGAGCCTCCTCTTAACAGCTGCTGGAAGAGTACAAGAGTAAGCAGAAGGTTTAACAGTGTGAGGGAAATTGCCACAGGAGGTTGTATTCCTGAGGGACTACTAAGATATGCTTTCCCTTGTTTCCAATTGATGCTTGAAAGTTTTTAAATTATGCTTTTTTTATTTTCTTTTTTCATTGGATGTGTCTTGTCAGCTAAACTCAGGACATCCTGCAAAATCATTTATTTTAAGATTAAAATGCAAAGTGTGTACTAGATTAGAAAAATGACACAAGCTGTGATTTACAGGGGTATCCTGTCAGCTAGAAATTAAATGCAGTGGTTTTTCATTAGGAATGTGTCAGATATTCCTGCAGAGCTGTGTGACTTATTTTAAACACTTATGCATTTAAATAACTTATTTAGCTTCTGATATTTTTGCAAAAACAAATTGAATACTTTACATGGAAGGGGTTTCAATGTTAAAAAGCCTACATTTAGCACAGCAAGAACCTGTCGCCCTGCAGTAAGTAGAAGCACTGCTAGCAGTTTTTCATTTTGCATTTATCTTTAGGTGATCCCTCTTTGCTGCTAATATGGAGTGCAGACCAGATTTTAAGCATAATGTTTTGCTTGAAAGATGAGCTCAACGTCTATGTTGCTGAGTTTGAGCATTTTGGATCTTAGTGCATTTGAGGCAGTGATGCTATAATCAAACTGCACCTAGAATTTAACCTTGAACCTTGCACCTTAATGTAGGCAGTGGCTTTGTACTTAATTGTATTCTAGAAGTATTTCTTTACAACTAGAAGTATTTATTGCAAGGTCCTTACATTTCAGTTGAAGGTAAAGAAGTTTCTGTACTGTAGCAGTGCTCAGATGTAAGCAACCATCTGTGAAGTACTGCTTCTAGTTGTGTGCTTTCTGGCTTATGGAGACTCTTTAGTGCACCTATCACGGGTTTTCTTGGTAAGATTTGTTCAGTGGGAATTTTCCCATTGGCATTCTCTGGGACCGAGAAAGTGCAGCTTGCTTAAACTAACCCTGTGAGCTTCCATGGCTGAGCATGAATTTTAACCTGGTCACCCAGATTTCTAGTCTAGCAGTTGAGCGTTGGCTCCCATGCCTTGTTGCCTCTCTCTTCTTACAAGGGAAAAAAGCTGTACTTAATAGACCTTGAAATGGACTATAATTACATGAACATTCATTTGTGTATTTAAAGAGAGTACAATTCCCACCATTTAGGAATGGAAACTATTTTTGGTCTGGTGGATAAATATTCTTAACCTTTTATCCATTTGATACCTAGGTTTCAATAATAAATAGGGTTTTTACATTTCTCCTGTACTGCGTTTAATAATTATTTCTTAATTAGCCATCCCCTGTCACATGTTTCTGTGGCCCAGTCTGGTGATCTGGAAAATAAAGTAATGAGAAAGTGTTGGTTTCTAATATATGTAATTTCTTCATGCTTGTCAGTAAGCAGTATTTCTTGCTGTTTCTTTATCAGTGTTGATGTGGAGATAGTTTGGTTTGCCTACTCTGGAACATGCAACATATCGTCCTTCTTTAGGGGTCCCTTTCAAATCTATGATACTATATCTCTCTCTGTGTGTGACTCATATCTATCTATCTATATATATGGCTGGATGGCTCTTTGTCAAGAGGGCTTTAATGATGTTTTCTTGCCCTGGTGAAGGGAGATGGACTGGATGGCCTTCAGGCAGCATTTTGCAATCTGGGGGTCGGGACCCCGGGGGGAGTTATGAGGGGGTGTCAGAAGGGTTGCCAAAGACCACCAGTGAACACAGTATTTTATGTTGGTCATGGGGGTTCTGTGCAGGAAGTTTGGCCCAATTCTATCCCTGGTGAAGTTCAGAATGCCCTTTGATTGCACGTGAACTATAAATCCCAGTAACTACAACTCCCAATTGTCAAGGTCTATTTTCCCCAAACTCCAGCAATGTTCATATTTGGGCATATGGAGTATTCGTGCCAAGTTTGGTCCAGGTTCACCATTGTTTGAGTCTACAGTGCTCTCTGGATGTAGGTGAACTACAATGCCAAAACTCAAGGTCAATGCCCACCGAACCTTTCTAGTGTTTTCTGTTGGTCATGGGAGTCCTGTGTGCCATGTTTGGTTCAACTCCATCGTTGGTAGAGTTCAGAGTTCTCTTTGATTATAGATTAACGATAAATCCCAGCAACTACGACTCCCAAATGACAAAATCATTTTTTTTTGAGTGATGGTCACTCCTTGGGTTAGTAGGTGTCTTGTGGCCAAATTCGTCCAGTGGTTTTTGAGTTATGTTAATCCCACAAACGAACATTACATTGGGTTGTTGTAGGTTTTTTCGGGCTATATGGCCATGTTCTAGAGGCATTCTCTCCTTAGGAGAGAATACCTCTAGAACATGGCCATATAGCCCGAAAAAACCTACAACAACCCAGTGATTCCGGCCATGAAAGCCTTTGACAATACATTAAACATTACATTTTTATTTATATAGATTACTAGCTGTACCCGCGATGCGTTGCTGTGGCCAAACTTCCCTCCCTCTTTCTCTCTAGCCTTCCTTCCTTCTCTCCCTCTTTCCTTCTCTTCTTCCTTCCTCCTCCTTTTTTTTCCTTCTTTCTCTCCTTTCTTCCTTCTCCTCTTCTTTCCTCCCTCCTTTGCTCTTTGCTTCCATCCCTCCTCCTTTCTTTCCTGCTTTCTTTCTCGCCCTCTTTCCTTCTCTCCTTTCTTCTCTCCCTCTTTCCTTCCTTCCCTTCTCTACCTCTTGCCTGGGCACTGGCAGGAAGGGAGTCTCGCAGCCCTCAGCCTTGCTGGGGCAGGCATGGGGCAGGCAGGAGGCGCTTTTTGAGGCAGGCCTCACTCACCCAGCACCACCCCTTCTTTTTTCTGCCATGGCTGCAGGGTGCCTTCCCACCTTTTTGCCGGTTTGGCATGCAGGTAGGGTTACATGAAAGGTGCCCTGCGGCTGTGGCAGAAAGAAAGGACCAGTGCTGAGTGAGCAAGGCCCACCTCAAAAAATGCCTTCCACCCCTGCCGGGCCCAGCAAGGCTGAGGGCTGCAAAGCTCCCTTCATGTCATTGCCTACACAAGAGAAGGTGAAGTCTGACAAACAGTACCTGCATGGAGCAGCCACCCACCTGCCTCACCGGGGAAAAAGAAGGAGGGATCCCTGTTTAGTGGGGCCAACAGAGATTGGGAGGAAGGTAAGGAGGTCCCATCGTGACGCAAGAGGGTAGGCCCAAAAGCATGGCTCGCTGCTCTGGGATCTGCAGTTTGGCAGGGCACAGTCCTCCTCGGCAGAGATGGTTTCAGCAAGGCCACATGAAAGTACAGCTCCCAGGACGCCATCGCATTGAGTTAAAAGTGGGGTCAAACTGCATCCGTTCTACTGTGTGTGCCTGAGCCACAGCCTGAACCCATGGCTAAGCCTCACTCGGTGCCAGCAGGGATTGCCAGCTTGCAACAGATAGTTGGTGCATTGTTTTTCCTTCGCATGGGCGGGGGACAGGGCACATTCGTGCATGCGCTGTTATGTATTCTTGGTTTTCTGGTTAATTTTTTTTGTTTTTTTGAGTGAAGGACATAGATTGCTTTGGTTGGTGTCTTGTGTCCAAATTTGGGGTCAATTTGCCCAGCAGTTTTTGAGTTCTGTTAATCCCACAGACGAACATTATATTTTTATTTACATAGATTCTTAAAGTATAGCCTAAGATGTGCTGTTTCTACTGTTAATGTCCAGATGAATGACAGCCAGTATCCCAGAGGACAGGATTAGAATCCAAAATGACCTTAATAGATTAGCGATCTGGGTCAGAACTAACAAAATGAATCTGAACAGGGAGAAATGTTATTACACTTAGGCAATTAAAATAAATGCACAGATATAGGATGGGTGACCTGGCTTGAAAATAGTACATGTGAAAAGGATCTAGGAGTCTTAGTGGATCACAAGCTGAATATGAATTAACAGTGTGATACGGCAACTGAAAAGGTGAATACAATTCTAAGCTGTATCAATAGGAGTCTTGTGTTGAGATCAATGGAAGTCATACCCCCACTCTGTTCTGCTTTGATCAGACCATACCTGGAATATTGTGTCCAGTTCAGGGCACTATAATTCAGAAGGATATTGACAAACTAGAATGTGACCCGAGAAGGGTGACCAAAATGATCAAAGGCTTGGAAGCCAAGGCCTGTGAGTAATGTCTGAGGAAGCTGTGTACATTTAGCTTGGAGGGAAAAAAGGCAGTGAGGGGACATGATAGCCATGTTAAAATGTTTAAAAGGATGTCATATTATGGAGGGGGGTAAGCTTGTTTTCTGCTGCTCTGGAGATTAGATCACAGAACAATGGATTCAAATTACAGGCAAATACATTCCACCTAAACATTAGGAAGAACTTCCTGATGAAAAGAGCTTTTTGGCATTGGAATATGCTACCTTTGAATGTGCTGCAGTGGTTCTCAACCTGTGGGTCCCCAGGTGTTTTGGCCTACAACTCCCAGGAATCCCAGCCAGTTTACCAGCTGTTAGGATTTCTGGGAGTTGAAGTCCAAAAACATCTGGGGACCCCAGGTTGAGAACCACTGTCAGCTAGAGTCTCTTTGGAGGTTTTTAAGCACAGGCAACATGGCCATCTTTTGGGGGTGCTTTCATTGTCCAGTCCAAACCCCTGCAAGACAGGGGTTTGGACTGGATGGCCCTTGCGGTTTCTTCCAACTAATTCTGTGATTAATATTAACAACCTCATGTGATGTGTAGTTGTTGGGTTTCATTGTATAGTTTGTACATATCTCAAGATACTTAGCCATTATAGTTCTACTTAACAGATATTAAGGGCTGATATGTATGCACCAATTGCCTTATTTCTTCTATTTTAATTTGAGATGTCTCATTTTTGACACAGTTACTGATGTCTTACCATGTTATGGTTGCTGAAGATACACCATTAAATACTTTATTTTAATTTTTGGAACTGTTCCATTGTGTATTTGGCTTTACTGTGTAGTAGACTGAATTGTGTCAGATGATAGAAAACATTTCTTTTAGGGCCTACACTGAAACATCTCCCACCTGTTGTCTCTTACAATCATAGAGTTGGAAGGTACCACAAGAGCTATCCAGTCAAACTCCTTGCCAAGCAGGAACACCTAATCAAAGCACTCCCAACAGATGGCCATCCAGTCTCTGTTTAAAAATCTCAAAAGAAGGAGACTCCACCACAATATTGCCCTCACAGTCAAGAAATTCTTTCTAATATTCAGGAGAAATTTATTTCCCTGCAGCTTGAAGGCATTGCTGTGTGTCTCTGGAGCAGAAAACAAGCCTGCTCTCTCTTCTTTAGGGCATCCTTTCAGATATTTAAACACGGCTATCATGTCTCCTCTTAATCTTCTTTTCTCCAAGCTAAACATACCCAGGTCCCTAAGCTGCTGCTAAGCTTTTACCATTTTGGTTGCCCTTCTTTGGGCAAGTTCTAGCTTGTTGAACAATTCCATGTGAACAGAACAAGGGGAATTAACACAACCATTTGGTGAAGCACCATTTGGTGAAGAAAATTATAATGTTTATCCAGCTGTCTACCTAATGCACTGCTCAATAGGAGCATAGTGTCGAGATTTTCCTTGAATTGCCTAGAACTGGACACAATACTCCTTGTGAGATCTGACCAGAAGAAGAATAGTGGTACTATAACTTCCTTTGATCTCAACACTATGCTCCCATTGAGCACTGCATTAGGTAGACAGCTGGATAAACTTTATAATTTTCTGCTACTGTCCTTCACCAAATAGTTGTGTTAATTTCCCTTGTTTCTTAGTTTCTTGTTCTGTTCACATGGAATTGTTTTATCACTGTACAAGGTCAGGCAGTATCTTTATTGGAGAAGTGAGATAGAAATGGGAACAAAATGAATTTATAATCATGTTTTAACAGTGTAGGAGACTGTCATTGTAGGTAATAAAAGAGTTTGGTATAGGGTACTTCATAGTGAAAGTTTGTCAATTACTAAAGTAATTGAAATGACAAATAGTCCTTACTGGCTGAATGTTTGCAGAGTAGCTATAACATGCTGTTTTTCATTTACTTAGATCATACATTACCTTGGAGAATATATTGTGCTGAAACAGCTGTATGACAAAGAAGAACAACATATGGTGTATTGTGAAGGAGACCAATTAGGAGATCTTCTGGGCCATGAAAGCTTCTCTGTAAAAGATCCAAGGTAGGAAACCTCTAAAACAGATGTAGTGAGTTTCTTATGTGTTAAATAGCATTTTCGGCAAGAGGTTAAGTTCTAACGATGTTGAAAGTTCTAATGCAATCCCTTCCTATAATCATCCACCTATAGTAACCATTCTAAAGTTCAAGAATGGTTTCCTGTCTTGTAAGCATCTTATAAGAGTTGTTGTGCTCCAGATGTTTTTTGTGCACAATTCTATTATCCTGTCCTGCATAGCCAACAGGGCAGGGTTTTGTAAGTAGCAAATGGAGAGCCACAGATGCCCACCTAGTTGTAACTGAGGTTTAGGGAACACATGGGTTTGTGTGTCACTAGTGTCATTGTATAGCTGTCTGGGCTTAGTGGAAATCATTACTTTAGAACAGGGGTCCTCAAACATTTTAAGCAGAGGACCGATTTACGGTCCCTCAGTTTGTTTGGGATGGGAGTTGAACTATAGTTTAAAAAAAAATAACAAATTCCTATGCACACTGTAGATATCTTATTTCTAGTGCAAAAAATGAAAAAACAATATAATATTTAAAACGAAGAACAATTTTAACCAACAAACTTACAAGTATTTTTATGGAACATATAGGCCTGCTTTTGGCTGGTAAGATAGTCACATTACTTAGAACTGTTCTTGTTGTGTACCTTCAAGTTATTTTATACTTAGGGCGACCCTAAGTCTCAGGTTTAGGACGGGACTAGGGTAAATTACCTTGGAGGACTGCATCTGGCCCGCAGGCCTTAGTTTGGGGACCCCTGCTTTAGAACTTAAATCTGCAGTCAATACGGTTATTCAATCACTACTATAACTTTGGTAACAAATACTGTTAAATATTTTCGGCGCCCTTAGTGACTGTAGTATCACTCTCGGTATACTACATAGCTTCCTGTTTTGCCATGTCTGCAAGGAGTTTTTGCTTAGTGTAGTAGTTGTTTCTTTCAACTTCTTACTGGGTGCTTAAATCCTACTTTAACAAACTGTATTAGCAACCATGGCTATTGGTGTGAAGGCATAAATTAACTCAAATTTCTAATCCATGTTCTGCATGCATATCAGCCACAGTTCTGCATTTTAGCTCTGTGTTCAGTTGTGAATCCAAACTATTGTAGAAGAAACCCCTTGGGTTAGGTCTTGAAGCTCCAGGGATTTTCAGGCCCCTTCCACACAGCTGAATAAAATCCCACATTTTTCTGCTTTGAACTGGAAAATATGGCAGTGTGGACTTAAATAACCCAGTTCAAAGCAGATACTGTGGGATTTTCTGCCTTGATATTCTGGGTTATATGGCTGTGTGGAAGGGAATGGGAATGAAGGAATGACAGCTTTAGTTGTACATGTTTTATGCAGGTTGATTCAGTCATAGAATGTGACAAATTGTTGGCCTCTAATTCTAGCAATTCAGAAGTGGACAAAGTTTCATGAAGTCTTTCTGTTTGTTTCTGATGCTTCGCAAGTCACAACTAGATTCTGGTAGAACTTAATTTTGTGCTTGCATGAAGAGTTTTATACAGGCTGTATCCAAGTTATGTTACTTCAAAGATTTAACAATATTGTTAGAAGTATGTAATTCAGGAATGTACATCTGTATCTCTATGATTCAAAAGGGAAATCTTTCTTTAAAAGGTAGCTTTGATATATCCATACCTCCTTATGCAGGATCTTGGGCCATTGTTTTCTTCTTTCTGCAGCGTTAGAGGTTTTTCCTTGACTCAACATATGTGAATTCTAGCTTTTGGGTAGTTGATTTGAATCTTACAATACATTACGGTTGCTTTTGGGTGGGGTAAGAGTGGTTTAGAAATGGATTAGAAATGGATTAGAAATTTGTCCTACTCTTTAACTATTTACTACTTTTCTGCAGCCCGGTATTTGATATGCTGAAAAGGAATGTGACTCCTGCTTCTGTCACAGGTAGGTCTCCTGTGTTATTAGTAATTTTTATTTAGTACTTTATATTTATATAAATCAGTCTGGTAAGTACAAGTAGATGAGCAATATGTTATCAAAGGCTTTCATGGCCAGAATCACTTGGGTTGCTGTGGGTTTTCCCGGCTGTATGGCCATGTTCTCCAGAGAATGTTAGGAGAGAATGCTTCTGGAACATAGCCATACAGCCCAGATGAACAATGTTTTAATTGGATGGATTGGTGATGGCAATGGAGCATTGGGATGAGTAAGGACACTGCAGTCTTCTTATATGCGTACACTATAAACTGGTATCAAGAGATATATAGCTTTACTTATTTTACATTGTTGTAGTTGTAGGGCGATATTGGCAAAACAGCTTGGCTGTTTAGAATTTTGAACACAATGAGTGGAACCCAGGGAATGTTACATCCCTATGAAATCAGTGAGCCTAAACATTTAATTGTGTATTTTTATATGTTGTCTTTCCATGGAATTAAATTTCTCTTGGATTGTACCAGTCAAGTTAACTACTTTATGTATGGAAAAACTGTGTGCAAAAACTATGATTAAACATTGCAGGTGATTTATTCTGTGATCTTATTCTTCTGGCAGTTTTAAGAAACCACTTTTGGTTTTACTTGTGCAACTTTTTTTTCCTTCTTCTTGTTGGGCAGCATCCTCATTGTTTGCCCTTTCTTGAAGCTTGACAAAGCTTCCTAGATATATTTGTTCTTTATATTATATTTTGTGATTCCTCTATCCTGTTACATCAGTAGTTCCCCACCGTTTTTTGGCCAGGGCCAATTGACCAAGGCCCACTTTGACCAGCTCTGCGGAAAGGAGTGGAAATAAAATAAATAAATACATAAATAAATAAAGAGGAAGGAGGTTTGTGGACCAGATTTTTGTTCTCGTGGCCCAAAGGTTGAGAACCACTGTGTTAGGTGCTTCCTAACTAGATTTTAACTAGTTTTTTCAGAGTTTTATTTTGGTTAGATATCTATGCCAGGGATAAGAGTTAAGCTTTCCACTCCAATCCTGATGTTACCAAGGCTTTTCTATAGCTGTTTTGTGCACAGCATATGCATTTAAAATTCCAGTCATGGAACTAACATCATGCCCAGTCTGGTTTTGAAAGGAATTCTTATGGAACTGTATATTTGAGAAACATTCTAAGTTCTTTGATTCCAAGAAACTTTTGAGGTGCAAGCTGATAGGATTGTGCACATGCATAATAATTTCCTTCTGTAAATGTTGCTGCTTCTTGCTCTATTTCTAGTGCAGGATCTGAAGTCACTCTCAGTTTGGTAGGTAAACACATCCAGTGGAATTTGAAATCCTTCTAGAATTGGGCTTGGAGGGTGGAGGGCTTAAGGGAGCTCGGTGTAGGCTTTTGTTTTTGAAGTACATGTGTCCAAGAAAGGAATTTTTGGATTATATGTTGTGAAGCATGTCTTCAGTTAATTGTTGGAGAACAGATCTAGGAATTAAGCACATTATAGAGGACTTCCTACCCCAGAAGGGTATGTAGTATACATTGAATGTAATAAGTAAAAATTGCGGAGTTTGAATGGAGTAAGTCATGAATTAAAAACGTTGATTCAGAGAATGGAACCAGTAATGTTTTCAGATTTTCTAGAAATTGTAGTTTAGGAAAACATAATGAAGATTTTACTGATTGCAGTACAGCCTCCTTATCCGTGGATTTGATATGCATGGTTTTACTTACTGTGGAAATCTCTCCCCTTGGAAGTGTTTGTAGGCCTCTCTATGTTCTCCAGTGCAATTCTGTGATATGTTCTTGGCCCAAATATCAGCAAAATATAACATTCACTATTATTACTGAGAGATCTTAGAATGGGAGGTATATACTATGGACTAGTTGACCCTTAAGCTCTTCCTCATTAAAAAATTGAAAGTCTAGTTATTTTTCCTCCTCCACAATTGCTTTGCAGACATTACATCTTTTGTTCATTGTAAAATGTAATACAGTGGTATAATTGTTTTTCCTCTTCATCTCATCTTCTCTGTTAGTTTCTTGTTTTCTGAGTAGGAGACATGACTACTTTAAATATTTATAACAGATCTCTACCAAGGCGATCCTCTGCCTAAATGTTGTTTCTAGATATTTCTAATATAGAATTTTTCCTGCTTCAAACATATTTGAAACCCTTGCTCCAAATTAGTGTGTCTACTTTAAAAAAAAAATCAAAAATGGTTCTTCTTCCTTTTCGTAGTCACTTAGTTTTTTTCCCTGAGCATCATTGCCAATTTGTCATTTTCTGCCATTTTCAACATTTCTATAATTCACTCTTGCTTTCAGTATTCCAGTCTTTTTCCAGTGTTGTGCACATAACATTCTTGCTCCAATTAACATATATTGCCATGTTTTGGTATTAATTAATTTTATGTGTTCATTTTCTATTCCTAATAAGAATAGTTCAGGGTCTAATTAGATTGTTGTTTTTAAAAAAATAATTGCAGTTGCTTTTGTATTGAATTCCAAAATTGCCTTGCTTTAGAGCAGCTCCATCACATGTGGAAGAAACTTCTAGGTTCCTTGTTATACTTCCAGCATGTACTGCTTGTTCTTGTTCATTTTAGCCAGTCTCATTTTAGCCATTGAAGCATCATCTTGTAAAAAAAATTACATCTTGACATAAGATTCTTTATAGTCTTGAGTTCCACATATTTTCCAAATTTTCTAGTTTTATATCATGTCCCACATTTTGTGCCCATACATCGTGTACTAATTCTGTTTCCACTTCCCATCTTAACATGTTGCATATTTTCCTATTAGATGCTCCTCGTTAGTATTGGGTGCTTTTTTTTCAAACTCTTATAGTTCTTTTTCAAGGCTGCTGCTTTTATTATCTGTCTGAAATCTTTGTGGACTCTTCCACACAGCTGTATAAAATCCACATTGAATTGGATTATTTGGCAGTGTGGACTCAGATAATCCAGTTCAAAGCAGATATTTTAGATTATCTGCCTTGATATTCTGAGTTATATGACTGCATGAAAGGGCCCTTAGTTGTCCGTGTAGTTGGTATCCTTCTATTTTGAATTATTGTGTTTTGAATAAATATTGATCTTCTTTCCATATTGGAAGAGCTTTATATGTCAACAATTTTTCTTCCTTTCCTTTATTGTATCTTTAAAAAAAATCCTCCTTCCACTGATATGAAAGTGGAGTTTTGGGGTATACTTTGAATTTATATTTATTCCAGGTTTTCAGAATTACTCGTCTCATAAAATGATTTCTGAATCCTGCATGTATTTTTGCTTTTTCATACCATAGATACATGTGCCAACCGAATCTCAAGTCATGTTCTTCCAGTTTTAAAAATCTCTTCTTTAATGTCAACAAATCTGCTAGAGTTGGATTAGATAGTTTGTTGAGATACTTTAAGTGAAAACAATACTGAAGTGCTTAGAATAGTCCATACATTTAAGTTTTTGCCACAAATACATGAAGCATTTCAGTAAAAATTGCTAACTTTAGTTTTAGTCCTCAGATGTGGTATTACTAGACTACTGAACTTGCAGGAGGTTTATAAAATTAGGCAATTAGCCACAGATTGCCCAGTTTTGTAGCCTTGCAGTGTAGTCCCAGTGTCTGGCCTGCTTTAAAGCATCATCTTATTCAACATCACATTACTAATTATTAAATACCATTTGTTCTTAAATGGTTCTGCCTTGAAGCCATTAGAACAGATTTTAACCTTTCTCAACATTGTTGGAGATTTTTTAAAATATTCAGCAAGAATGGTGGCCTTGCTAGATGGAGATGTTACTCTGCAACAGTAAGACTACTTACTAAGCTTTCCTCTAAGCACCAGCACATATAATAGATAGATGTTTTCTATTTCCACTGGTGCTTGTTAAATAAGGTTAATGTATGGTGTTGTGATCATGTTTCTGTGTCACATCTCACTTAAAAGCTGAATTAGAACCTTATATGTAGAATTCCTCCCCATTAAAGTATTCATCTAAATGTCAGGGAATTCATTTTTCAGGATCAACCTTGAAACAATGTTTATCACATAGTTCACCCATGTGCAGTTTTTTTTTTAAGTTTGAGCATGGGAGTGGTAGCCATTTGAAGATTGTGGAAGGACTTTGACATCTTTGCTTCTGCCATGATTTCAATTGGAATCACCCTCCCATGCACCAGGCATTTGCAATGGAAATAAAACTTCCACTGGTGCCAGTTAAACATCTTTCTCATTGCAAAATAGTGGCATGAAGTGGGCTCCTGATTGAAATGAGAAGGAGTTTCAGGTTAGTTAAAGTACTCTCCCCCTTCCCAAAGTTTCAATCTGTTTTGTCTGCCCACATATTTATAATTTTTTAAAAAATCTAACATGAAAGATTTTAGTAATTTGAGGGCTAGGAGGAAGAGTTTAGATGCTAGTTTAGAAGGCTAGAATATGTCTACAGTTGGTCATCCACATTTGCAGGTTTAACTTTCCTGGATTTGATTAATATGTTCTTTGTAGGAATCTATGTCCTCCGGGGTCTTGCAGGATCTACAAAACGTAGAGAGAACATATCAATCGTATCTGCAAGGCGTTTTGTCAGATTTTAAACAATAGTGGTTTTTTTAAATGAATGGTTTCTCCACTTTTGCAGGGATACTGTGTCCCTACCTCCTGTGAACTAGAGGACCTACTCTTGTTCAAATATTTGGGGAATTTGAGAAATAAATTCCATTCCTCAAGTGTCAGTGATCTGAGAAATGGAGGTTGGCTGGGAGGTTTGTTCCCTCATCTTTTAATGTTTTCAGCCCCACAGCTTGGCTTTTTGGTTGCTTGTTAAGGGACCTTCTCTGTTGTGTGAATGGTTATCACTGGGGAAGGTTTTTTCTTTTTCTTACCTGCTGTTTAGATGCTGCACAGACACATTCTCTCGCAAAGGATCAGAGTGTGGATAATCCAAGCCAAGATCAACTGAAGGTAAACCCGTCTCTGGGTGGTTTGTTTTGTCGTACAGAGCGCCCCTTCTCTGTACCTGTATATGGTGGACTGCCAGAACTTCTGATCTGTTTGCCTGGCAGCGGTGTGCTTTCTTCAGAAGTCTTTGGTAGTCCACACAACAGGGACAGAGTGGCCATTCTCTGTTCTCTATCTAACAGAGTTTCAGTCTCTGAGCATCTTTTCTGGGGTGTAGCACTTCTTGTCCTCAGTCACACCAGCTAGCATTGTTGGGCAGGATTTTCTGAACGGTGATCTAGATCTGCTTAGTGGTATGTTTTAAAAAAGTTTTAATAAATGGAAAGTTTTAGCATAATCTAATTTGTTTCGTGTGCTATTGTTGGATTGGTTTAACCCAGTTTGTGAGAGAGCAATGTGATTTGGTTAACAATCTTGATAACATTAGCAGGTAGCAGCTTTTGGAAAATAGACAGTTTGGTTTTTTTAAAATGTGGTTTGATTGTAACTTTTACTTATGTCTATTTGATCCTTAGCAGCTGTCTTTGTCATTTTATCAATGTGCTTTGAATGTTCAGTTAAGCTTAATTCCTCTCATAGCTCCTTGATGTTGTTCTGCAGCTGGTTACTCAGAAAGGAAGTGCTACATCCCCGTGTCTCTAAACGATCTGATGGGTTAACAAATGTCTTTCTTTCCTTCCTCCTTTAAGCAGAGTAGCACAGAGAGAAGTTCTAGCATTGAATATAAAGAGGAAACATCCATCTTGTGTACCTTAAAATCTGCCTGCAAAGAAGATACAGGTGAGTGTGGTATTTGTGAAGAAGTCTGATTTGCACCATAGTCATTATATATATGAGGGGTTTTTCACATTTTGATTTGGGGGCCAAATTGTTTTAATCTCTGCTATTCTTGCATCTGGTTCTTTATGTGAGATCATGTGTGTAGGTCCAAACTTTATATGCTAGTCAGAAACCGCTAAAAGCAAACTGTTTCGTTTTTAGTAACACTCACTCCAAAGATTATTTCTTCATCCTAATAAGAGCCCTTCTCTCCATCATTCAAAATCTGTGACCTGTTAGTGGAATTGAATTCCACAGTGCTGCTGATTTGTGAGAGGCAAAATACTACCTTGCTGGGTAGAAATTTCCTGCTGTTTTGGAGGTCAGGGAAAGGGGCTTGGTTCTTTGATTAAGTTACATGAACCAGGGTGAGATATATTTACATTAATAAAACTCTATTGGGGACTTAATTTTCTAAAGTGTACGTTTTTTAATACTGGGTAAATATCTGGGTGAGCCCAAATAAGAAATCTGTCATTGCTCATTAATATTAATTGTATTTTTGAACAAGAAATAAGTGTGTTTTTGTATCAGTTTATCTTCCTCAAGTTTTTCTTATGTAATGCATACTGTTTATATGTTTGATTTTGAGAATGTTTATTATAAGATGAATAAGTATTTGCACCGTGTATCTGTTTATATTATACAAATTGATGGACTTGTAGGATTTTCCTTTAATTTTTCAGTTTGGCATATTTGCATATGGAGTCTGAAGCATAAATATAGTCTGAAACCTAATTTTCATTATTTATACAAATAAAGATAAATAAAACCTTCAAAGAATGCCATATTGAAGTACCAATGAGTTGTTCCCTTATGAATGCCCATGCACTTTGCAGTGGGGCAAGATATGGACTATAGCATATTCCAAAGAATATCAGTGTAATAATGAGCTGTTTCTCAGTGGACAATGGTATCCATTGGTTCATAAAAAAGTATTCTATGTATTCATTTATTTAATTTTATGTCACCTTTCTCCCGAAGTGGGACCTCAGACACCTTCCAAAGACAATAAATTGAAAACATTTGTAGTCAAATCTAAGAACAATTAAAATCACAGTGATCTTATTCTAACCTGAACTCTGTTTGGTTCCTGCATTAAAACAGTGGTAGATAACCCATCAAAAGAACAGACTTCATTGGATGTGGTGCTTGAAGAGTGGGATGTACCTGGACTTCCATGGTGGTTTTTGGGTAATCTGAGAAACAAGTCCAGAAGCAATGCTTCTACTGATATACAAACCAATCAGGTGAGTGTCACTTCTTCATGAGTATATCTAAATACAGAGTGTGAGTCTGAGGTTCTCAGACTAAATTCAAATGTGGAGAAGGAAAGAGCACACACTGTGAAATCTATCAAGATGCCTCCCATTTTGGCTCTAGCTCCTCTCACTTTTATTATAAACTCCTTATTTATTCTGCTAAGATGTTAAAACATTCAGTGGCAGAATCTAAAACACTGGATAGCAGAAGGGAACTCTTTCCTTCCTTCTTAGTCACTCAGACTTCCCTGATAATACTGTCCTCATTTCTAGGGGAAAGTGGCTCTTTGGAATTTAGTATACTAAAATGCTTTGATCTATCTCTGTGTTTGTATTTACTTCACTGTATCAATGTTACATCATGTTGCTGAATTTTTTCTTAATAAATTAATTGGGGTCAGGGAGCTTAGTAAAGCCACTTTGAACACATTGCAGAAGCATCAGGATTTCACAAAGATTAAATCATTAAGTTTTGCACTTTTATCATATGACTGATAGTGAAAACTAGTCATTTCACGTTTTACCTACATTTAAATATTTATAAGGCTGATGGAGGCCTGGAAATTATCTCTGTTTTCTTCTGCTTCTCTCTAGGATGTAGATACTGCTGTTGTTTCAGATACAACAGATGACTTGTGGTTCATCAATGAAGCCGCTTCAGAGCAATCAGGTGTCACAGTCCCAATGAAGACAATTGATTGTGAACAGGCAAATGAAGAAGGAAAAGAGAGTAACAAAATGGTAAGGGCCAAGATCAAAGTTATTGGATTGGGTTTATTTGACCCAATAAGTATAATTTGTCATCTTATACTCTTTTTGGCTTGCTTTTACTCTTATTAACGTCATGGCTTATACTTCCAGCTTTAGTTTTACTTGTAAATTCTTGTATTGCATAACAAATGTCATACTTCTATGCAGTCTGTTTCAGGTGTTATACTCAACTTGAGATCTATATGATGGTTACTAGCATGAGTCAGTTATATGGGGCAGAACTTTTTCCAGTGCTCAATTTCCCATGAAAATCTTCTGCTTATATCAGCAGTAACTAAACCCAACATGAAATCTGTGATGAAAAGAGCATATCTTATTTTTTCCGTTCAGCTTAGAAGTAGGAATTGAACTTAGATACATCAGTTATGAATTTGGGTTTTTTTTTAAGTGGTCAATATATACTAGTGCCTACTCGGAGAGGAACTAATATTTGATGCTATTTATTCATTCATTCATTCATTCATTTATTTATTTATTTATTTATTTATTTAAAGCATTTATATCCCGCCCTTCTCACTCCGAAGAGGACTCAGCACAACATATAAACGGCAAACATTCAATGCCGAAACATATTAGACCATACACATACAAAAGTATTAAAATCACTTATCTTGACATTAAAATCCACTAGTTAAAACTGTCTCAACAACCATATTGAATTTGGTTGGCATACTAAGGGTCCCTATCGCTGCCTCATTGCAGAGTGCCAAAGGCTGCTATACTTTATTATTGAGGGGTTATTGAGGCATTTAAACGTTTGTTTAGTAACTATAATCAAAATAAACATTCCTGATCAAATTGCACTCTGTTTGAGTCACCGGAATTAAAAAAAAATAACATTTTGTTTAACATTTTCTGGGAAAATCCACATTACTAATAGGAACGCAAAATGAATCATTTTTTAGCAATAGCCCTCCTGTGTCACCAGGTTACAGAAGTATAAAATGAGGAAGAAATTTATTTCTGTCCCACCCTTTTCCCAGCTTGGTACTCAAAAGTCACAAAATAGAAAAGTTGAAAGATATTAAAATATCAAACTTAATATCAAACTAAAACATTAATAACACAAGACCACATGCATGCACACACATATCATTGAATATGCACAATTGTGCATGTATACTAGCACAACAGTTAGCAATATCCATCACATTGTTAGTTGAGATGGGCCTTGCACCGCTCCTCAAATGCTTGTTGGAAAAGAAATATCTTTACTAGTCTTGCAGGGAAGGTGCACTTATGTTAGTGCCGTTTGTGTTTTCTTATGATTTAGTTAACTATGTCTTGGGTTGTTGTAAGCTTTTCGGGCTGTATGGCCATGTTCCAGAAGGATTATCTCCTGATGTTTTGTGCATTTATGGCAGGCATCCTCAGAGGTTGTGAGGATGCAGGTGAAACTTCAGGAGATAATACTTCTGGAACATGGCCATACAGCCCAAAAAACTTAGAACAACCCATTGATTCTGGCCATGAAATCCTTCAACCATACATTAAATATGTCTTATTGGATTGATTTGTTTTATTTTTCATCACAATGCTTAATTCTTCATCGTAAGCTCACTGTTATTACTATTGCCTTATTGTGTATTATTTTGATAAGTTTGTATTTACAAGAGGCATTGAATGCTTGCCTTTTTGTGTGTGTAAACTGCCCTGAGTCCCTTCGTTTTAGAAATAAAGTTTTATTATTAAAAAATCACAGTTAAAATCCATTAAAAACACATTCCAAGTCATTGAGAAGACCCTACCCCATGTTCCCACCGCATATATCTATGAAGAGAGAACATTCTCAGCAGACCTCAAAAGTTTGTAAGGGAGAATGTGATCTTTGAGATAGTAAATACTTGATGCTTTGTAGGTCAAAACTAACACTGAACTTGGAAACAGTGTGGCTGCTACTGGAGCTGTTGCTACAATGGAGTTGTAGGATATTGGTGACATGAAGTTTTTTTATCTTGTTTTTGAAGGATGATTGTTTCAGTGATTGAACATGTTGATCACACATGTGTTGACTGAGTGTGTAGATCATATCAAAAAATTAAACAGCTTGTGTTTTTAGGAGGGTTGCTTTTGGGGTTGCTGTGAAGGTCTTTGAAGCCAAATGAAAAGTGCAGCTGATAGGAGACCCATGTACGGATACTTGTCACAGCCTTTTCTCTAGTTTACTGTATAGTTTATAGTTTACTGTATATCTGTATAGTTGGATGAAGCATTAGCATGTCATGAGTTTGAGAAGGATGGGATACAAATGTTTGAAATAAACAACAAACAAATAAATATATAGCTTTGCCCACCAAGCAAAATCTTAGAGCAGAGTGTTGCTTGACTTTTAATGCATTGATAATGGCAGACAGACACCTTTTAGTTTTGTTTGCATATTATATAGGTAAGTGAAGTTACATCCTCAGATGACTTTGAAGATTCACAGTCCTTAAGTGATGACACAGACATCGAAGTTACCCCTGAGGTACGTATACTCAAGGCTTCCTGTCCTTCATTCATTTGATGTTTGGAAATTTAAAGGATACGTTTAGATATATGTCACAGTACTTTACTGCATCTCTTTAAACCTTAAGCAGTGCAATATGGTTCTTCACTTGTTAGGATGTTTTAAACAAACAGTGTGTATCAAATCAGTTTGTAAGTTTTATTGATGGTAACTGAATTTTGAGCACAAAAGCTGTCAAAGATTTAACTAAAAAACAATGCAATAGTCTTCATGGTTAGTTTATACTTAATTGTGCCCCTCCAAGCTTTCTGTAATATTCTTCTGTTCATTCTCTTCATGTTGGGGTGAGTTTCTGATTTCTTTATGTCATATAGATATGGTATATACCAGGGGTCCTCAAACTAAGGCCCGAGGGCCAGATACGGCCCTCCAAGGTCATTTATTCGGCCCTCACTCAGGGGAGGGTCAACCTAAGTCTAGAATGACTTGAAAGCACACAACAACAATCCTATCTCATCAGCCAAAAGCAGGCACACACTTCACATTGAAATACTAATAAGTTTATATTTGTTAAAAACAATACAATACTTAAAATAACGAACAATTTTAATTGTTTTTTGCACTACAAATAAAATATGTGCAGTGTGCATAGGAATTCATTCATGGTTTTTTCAAATTATAATCTGGCCCTCCAATAGTTTGAGGGACTGTGACCTGGCCCTCTGTTTAAAACGTTTGAGGACCCCTGGTATATACTCAAGTATAAGCCGACCCGAATATAAGCCAAGACACCTAATTTTACCATAAAAAATCTGGGAAAATGTATTGACTCAAGTATAAGCTGAAGGTGGGAAATGCAGCAGTTACTGGTAAATTTCAAAATAAAAAATTCAAAATAAAAATAGATACCAATAAAATTATATTAATTGAGGCATCAGTAGGTTAAATGTTTTTTGAATATTTATATAAAACTGTAATTTAAGATAAGACTGTCCAACTGATTAAACCAGCATGCTAATTTTCTTCAATGTAAATGTGCTTATATGGTATATCTCAATCTAAATGGCTTATATGGTATATCTCCTTCTAATAATAATAAAGAACAAAATAATAAATGTAATAAAAATAAAGTAAAATAATAAATAACCTTGACTCGGGTATAAGTCAAGGGGGCTTATTCAGCTTAAAAGGGGGCAGAAAAACTCATCTTATACTCGAGTATATGCGGTATATCTCAGTTGGTAAAGCTTCTGACAAAGAAGCTCCTTTTTACAAAGCCCATTCAGCACCCTTCCTCCTCAGTCTTTGCCTAAGTGGAATTTTCTTTACAGCATCAACATTGGATGAGTTGGGTGATGAAGAAGGCTTGGAGAAACAGACTTTCATTGTTGAGTGGAAGCAGTGCGTTTGCATTAATAATGCAGTAAAGCTTCGTTTGGAAAATAATGGACTTTTACTCTATCTAATCTTGCTGTAGCTGTATATGTTGCCTACAATAGGCAAGATAAACAGCAATTGCTTCTGGAATTGTTTAATGAGCAGCATGAGTGAATGGCACAATAAATAAGAAAGCAGGTTATCCTGCCTTGCCACCTATCCCCGCATGTTAGAAAAAAAAATAGAGCCATATATTTCCCCATCAAAAAATAGGAAATTATAAGATAAGAGGATGGTGAAAAGAAAAACCTATTCTGGATCCATCTCCAGAAATAGAGAAAAGTGGTTAGAGGAATTAGCTGGGAAGTTGTAGTGTGGGAGCCAGGCAGATTCCCCAGCTTTTGCAGGTATCCATTGTGAACAAAAGCAGGATATCTCATACTTGCTTGATGTCCTGTTGAAGGTAATAAGTTCATCTAGTACCATCACATTTAATTTAGACGTAATATTTTGAGGGAGGAACAGCCAGATAAATGTCTTCATAGTTTTGTTATAGCTAAATTCACTGGCCAGATTTAACTTGGTTTAAAATTTTGATGGTGAGGCTTTCTTTGACACATTTGAAGCAAAACAGATCGGTACAGCAGTTCTTGAGCATTGAACTTTGAAAGGAGTTGTGTCTGTAGAGGAAAGTGACACGATCTGCTTTGATATGGCAATTTCTGAAAGATCTCTGTTGTGATTTCTCCACAAGGACATTTGCAATAAAAAAAATCAGTGAATGACATGATTTCTATGTTATTCTCTTTCATTTTTCTTTTGGAGATTGTGCTTTGCAAGAGAAGACATGCATATTCTGGTCCTCATAGTCTGCAGAATCAAGCTGTGCTTCTTTTTAATGTGGCATGTGTGTCTGTTTGACAAATTGGGATGACTCTGGTGTTAGACAGCGGAATTATAGCTCAACCCAGAAAGATGTTGCCCTTGGTGTATGTGGTGATCAAGGAAACCACTATCAATTGTGTAGATTCTGCAGATTTTATTTAATTAGTGTCTGAGGAAGGCACTTCAGACTAAAGAAGTATCTTTTCTTGAATATAGAACACATCATTGAAAACTTATGATTAGGGAAGGGAAGGAAAAATTGTCCTGTAGCTTTCCACAAAGTTGGCAATCCGAGTGAGATTGAGAAGCTAAATATGCACCCATTCACTTGTGTTTGGTTTCTTTCCTCTTTCATTTATTAGGATGGTTGGCAGTGCACCAAATGCAAGAAGTTGAACTCCCCCATCAAACGATACTGCGTACGCTGCTGGGCCTTAAGGAAAGACTGGTTCTTTGATTGCCCCAAACTAAAACATTCTGTCTCCACATCCAACATTGCTTCACTGCAAAGTACAGAGGAGGCAGAAGGGATGGATGTCCCAGACTGCCGAAGAACAGTATCTGCTCCAATCGTACGCCCTAAAGACCTGTGCAGTTCAGACGTAACTTGTAGCTCAAGCCCTAAAAGCTCCATGGATTCTTTAGATGTGGCACAGTTGTGTGAACAAAGAAAACCTTTGCTGCAGTTAGGTAAGCGGAAAGAAAAGGAAGAGGAAGAAGCTCAATCCCTCGAGAGTTGCAAAGAATTGCTGAAACCTTGCCTTATGTGTCAGAAGAGGCCACGGAACGGCAATATTGTCCATGGAAAGACAGCTCATCTTGTGGCATGTTTTCCATGTGCCAGAATGTTAAAAAAGATGCGATCACCTTGTCCTCTGTGTAAGAAACAGATTCACGTTGTGATCAAGACTTACATAGCATAGCTGTTTCACTTGCTGAGGGCTGTAAAGGATACAGCTTTTAGCATTACATATGTAATGAGATGGTGCTTACAGTTGTTTATTTTCTGTTTACATTAGGATCCCATATCCACAAGGACATGCTCTTACCAAGACCTCAGTTACCTGAAAGTACAGATATGACTAAATGCCATTAAATTATTTAACTCCCAGGTTTAGCATACCATAACTTTGAGTGTAGGTCTAGAGCAGGCATTGGCAAACTTCAGCCCTCCAGGTGTTTTGGACTCAACTTCCACAATTCCTAACAGTCTCAGCCCACCCCCCCAACTGCTTAAGTGGCTGAGGGGGAAAAGAAAGGGGCCTGAGGCTGTTAGGAGTTATGAGAGTTGAAGTCCAAAACACCTAGAGGACTGAAGTTTGCCTATGCCTGGTCTAGAGATTTCAATGAACCATTTTTCCATGGGCACAGATAAGTGAATTTGTAGGTATTGTTTTTGCAGTTATGGGGTGGGTGAGGTGGGGATTGCTTATAGTTTGTGTGGGAGGGATTGCCAAATTGAGGAGGCATGCTAGCCTGGGGGCACAAAGAGAAGCCTATTTCTGCTTCCTTTAAAAAAACTGCCTTCATATGACACGAGTCCACCTTAGTTAAGTATATGGTAAGTTATATATATTGAATATGTACTAACTTGCTTTTTGCACGTTGCACATGATTTTTTAAATGTCTGAAAGCCAGCTGTACTGATAGTTGGTTCCCAAGAACTGAGCATTTTTCTGACAGTTTAAAGTTTTTTGTCTACATATGATGCACCCTTGTGTTGGGTGCCTTTATCACTATATTGGGGCAGCTACTGAATGATATTTGCCATTTCGTTATTCCGTGTCTTCATTCTTCTGTGTATTCATATTAATCTTGGAGCATAGTTTTAAAAAGCTTTTATGTTGTGGGTTTTTTCCCAGTACTCTGTGTGTGTGTGTGTGTGTGTGTGTGTGTGTGTGTGTGTGTGTGTGAGAGAGAGAGAGAGAGAGAGAGAGAGAGAGAGAGAGAGAGAGAGAGGGACTTTCAACACTGTAAGAAGAAAGATGTATTTGTATTAAGATCGTTCCATGTATATTGTATTTTTCTCTGTTAGCTCAAAGCTAAGAGTGCTGTGTGACTTATGTTGATTTGCCATAACTATAGCTTTCATGAGGCTGGAATGACTGTATTTGTTCTCATTCTTCTAATTCAGTGGTTCTCAACCTGTGGGTCCCCAGATGTTTTGGCCTTCAACTCCCAGAAATCCTAACAGCTGGTAGACCTGCTGGGATTTCTGGGAGTTGTAGGTCAAAACACCTGGGGACCCACAGGTTGAGAACCACTGCTCTAACTGCTAAACTTTATATTGTGCCTTGGATTGCTGAGGCTAAAATGGATCACATTGCTAGACATTAGGATATGCCAGGAACCATTTTTAAAGGTAAAGTATCATAAAGATTTCAATACTCTCCATAATTGCCAAAAGCACTATAAAACTAGACTATGCATATATTAAAATTTTAGAATTTCTCAAGTCAACAAACTTTTCAATGCTGGACTTGAAGGATATAACTAGATTATATACTTAATATGCGGCCGCCCAGTAGAGATTCCCAGTTAACCCTCTGTCGTGATGACTTAGTGTGAATTTGTACATAATTTCTTCCCATTTTTGGATGCTAGTATCAACATTTGGGAAGCTACATAGAAAAACATGTCCATGTTATGGGAGAAAGTTACATTATATAATATATTTGGGCAGCTACTGATGAAAGAAGACATTTGCTACTTTATTCTGTGTCTCTTGTGCTCTCCATATTATCGTGTGTGTGTGTGTGTGTGTGTGTGAGAGAGAGAGAGAGAGAGAGAGATGAGACGAAACTGCAGTACTGTTTAAAGAAAGATATATTTTATTAAATTTGTGCAGTTCATATTTTATTTTTCTATGTTAGCTCAAAGCCATGAATACTGTGCGGCCAGACTTATCTAGTGAATTGTCAGGTTTTGTTGTTAGATGTCACCAACATTCTTCAGACAAGATGTGGGGCCCTGTGCTCCATCCTGGTCAATGGCTTTTATGTGTGAGTTGTCTGCTAAATGTGAATTTCAAGTGCTCAGGTCTAACCAACACTTGACTGCTGCACTTGAGCAACAGCCAATGATAATTGGATCTGTACAGATTCCTCCAGTCTGGGTTCCTGTTTTTCTTTCCTTGTGGATAAAAAATTCCCTTACATTGTAGATTCTCTGGTTTGTACATTTTCTGTAATTTACTTAAATAAAATTCTGCAGGCGTGTTAAATGCAGTGTTATGCCACAATCAGATGATTGAACTTGTGCTTAGAAGGAACTGTTCAAATAATACTCCCCATCTCATATTCAGAATTTAATTATAGAGCTGCAATAAGGTTATGTTACAAGGTAAAGAAATCAGAATATTGTCTTAACTTGTCTTTCATCCAGATATTTAAATTGCTTACTGTAGGATGTACTTCAAAAAGGCAATGTCAACATATAGTGTTGTCCTTGAGAGGGGACCTGTATTGGAAAGCTTTGTGCATGTAGATCTGCATTTTAGAACATTTCTTCTCTTTGAAAGAGTTCTTAATCTTATTGTGGCACTAACTAAAATTACAGCTTGAAACTAAACAGCAGTTTTCCTGTTCTGTTTTCATCAGAGATTACTTGTGACTATGACATACCTTTTATTTCTAGTTTGCCCCAGAGAGAAGAGAACAGTACCACTTGGGGTCTTCAGTCTTCCACAGACATGTGTAAGAACTGTGTGTTGTAATGGTTAGAATGTTGTACTGGGAAACCCATATTCAAATCTGCACTCAACCATGAAGCTTGCATTGTGATCATGATACTGAAAGAAGAGTGGGAGCAATGTGTGGGACTGAGCTAAAATGTAATAAATAAATAAGCTTTCTGACTAAGTATTTGCTTAACTTTATTAAAACAGAACAATCTAGCTCTGGGAACAATATTTCTAGGAAAAAAACTGTTCTCATAGTATCCACACAACTCTGTAATATATTCCTTTCAGTTTTCTTATATTCCACAGTTCAATCAGGCAAAGTTGCCATCTTCTATCTTTCAGGATGCGTGAGCTTAGCCAAATGTCCATGCTCCACTGTCCTGCTGCCATGCTGCTAATGTTGGAATTGAGGAGGGAGCTTTGAATAGTGAAAAAACAGTGTTCAAATACTTTTGAGATTTTAAAAGCCATTTCTGGTATAACATAGTGTTGTGAGTTTGAATCGATTAATAGCAAGTATGTATCTGCCAATAGTTTGGAGGACGAGCTTGAGCCAGTATTTATATTTGTAGCTAACATATGTGCTTTAGCTAGGTGATACATAAATAGCCAAAACATTTGGAATAATTTCCTCTTTAAGGCAACAAATTGGATGTTGCTGTAATCATTATCTGAACATAGATGGGATGCTGTTTCCACAAACCTCAGAGTGGGGGGATGGACATGAATGTGACCCATTGTTGCACTCCAGAGCAGGATCCCCTCTGACTTTAAACACTACACAGTTGAGTTAAAATAGCAAGCAATTTATTGGAGGTAATAAAAGCCAAAGCAATAAAATTAATCAACAGTAAAAGGTAAATCCAAATGAGTAGGAAGAAAAAGGAGTAATTAGTCCAAAGGAGTCCATGAAACTAGATGCTTGATTTCAAAGGCAAATAACGGCAAAGGCACTTAAAACAGGAATCAAACAAAGACAAGGGTCCAAGAACTTGGCATGAAGAACTTAACGTGAATCCAACATTGCTTTGTCTGAAGCTAGATTCTGTACTTGGCACTTATAACCCTGCCCTATTTCTCAAACAGTTAAGAACGGATTTCTCCTTAACTTTGGTTTCACTTCTAACTTCTGCTGTAATCTGGCTGGGCTCCATAATTGCTCGTTTGTTTGTCTTTGCTGGCTAAAAACACTTCTGCTGTCCAAGGCTTCATTAAAATCTACACCTGGAGATAACTGACCAGAGGACTGCGGCACAGAGACTGTCCCAGTCTCAAGACCTTGAGAATCCCCTTACAGCAATATAGGCCTCTAACCCATCAACTGAAATGCATTCAGGCCGCACATCTCTAAAACCAGGGCCAGGAACATCATCCCCTTTCCCTTAAGGAACATCTTCATGGACAGCATCTCCATTCCCATCAGAGGACTCAACTTGAACATGAACAGCATTGTCATTCCCATCATCCAAAGCAACCTGATCATTAGACACAATCACAGGTTGACATACAACACTCATGATATGATGTTGAAATTGGGTAGCTGACACATCTTACTTGCATTTGTGTATTCAGCATTCCATTCCAAAGAAGGTAACTTTTAAATCTTTACCCACAGAATTATTTTTCCACAAACACATTTCTAGAAGGATATGTGCTTTAACTATGCTAACCATGCTGTTTTGTTCAAAATTAAAATGCTTTTATGCAATTAAATTGCCAGTGAAGTGTTTTAAGCTGCTTGTATTTAAATGATCTAATTGTGTTGTCGAAGGCTTTCATGGCTGGAATCACTGGGTTGCTGTAAAATTTTTGGGTTCTATGGCTATGCTCCAGAAGTATTCTCTCATGACGTTTCGCCTACATCTTTGGCAGACAAATCTTCAGAGGTTATGAGGTCTGTTGGAAACTAGGAAAATGGGATTTATATATCTGTGGAATGTCCAGGGTGGGAGAAAGAACTCTTGTATATTGGAGGTAGGTGTGAATGTTGCAATTGGCCATCTTGATTGGCATTTAATAGCCTTCTAGTTTTCAGGGCATAGCTTCTTATTGCCTGGGGGCATCCTTTGTTGAGAGTTGATTAGCTATCCCTGATAGTTTCTTGTTTGGAGCTCCCCTGTCTTTACCGTAAATAAATTTACTTTATTTACAAGCATGTGGACAATTTCAACAGAAAGGAAGAACCATGAAAATGAACAAAGTCTGTCTACCAGTATTTAAAAAACTCTAAAAAGCTCTAAAATCATAACCGTAAATAAAGATGAGAAATAAATATTAAGACTTATTACAATAAGATAATTCAGATTAAAATAATAAATACAAATAATAAGGAAAACAATTATACCAATAAAGCATAAGACATAACTAATCAGGGTTGCATGTTGGAGACTGAATATTGAATCCGATTCTTATGTCACAGTTCAAATGTTTGTGGGTTCCAGTACAGATATGCAAATCCAGTTGGGATAATGAAAGAAGGTGTGCACGAAGAATTTGAAGTTTATATTGAGTAATGATTAGAAATAATTTTAATAAGATGATG